TCTATTTAAAACCTTCAGCAAGCATAATATGTAATGGGGACAAGTTAGAAGCATTTCCAATAAGATCGGGGGTGAAACAAGGATGTCCATTATCACCACTGTTATTTAACATTGTACTGGAAACGTTAGCTTTAGCAATAAAGAAGAAAAAGACATTGAAGGCATTAGAATAGGCAAAGAAGAAACAAAGCTATCACTCTCTGCAGATGACATGATGTTATACTTAGAGAATTCCAGAGAATCAAGTAAAAAACTACTTGAAATAATAAACAACTTTAGCAAAGTTGCAGGCTATAAAATAAACCCACATAAATCATCGGCATTTCTATATATTACCAACAAAGCCCAACAGCAAGAAATAGAAAGAGAAATTCCATTTAAACTTACTGCAGACATTATAAAATATTTAGGAGTCTACCTCCTGAAACAAACCCAGGAATTCTATGAACACAATTCCAAAACACTTTTCACGCAAATAAAATCAGATCTAAATAATTGGGAAAACATCAGTTGTTCATGGGTAGGCCAAGCTAATATAATAAAAATGACAATTCTACCTAAGCTAATTTACTTACTCAGTGCCATACCAATAAAATTACTAAAAAATTATTTTATAGAGTTAGAAAAAATAATAACAAGATTCATTTGGAAGAACAAAAGGTCCAGAATATCAAGAGAACTAATGAAAAGAAATGCAGGGGAAGGTGGCCTAGCCATTCCAGATCTTAAATTGTATTATAAAGCAGCAATCACCAAAACTGCTTGGTACTGGCTAAGAAATAGAGTAGTGGATCAGTGGAATAGGTTAAGTATGTAAGACACAGTAGTCAATGACTATGGTAATATATTATTTGATAAACCCAAAGACCCCAGCTTCTGGGATAAGAACCCATTCTTTGAAAAAAACTGCTGGGAAAACTGGAAAAGAGTATGGCAGAAACTAGGCATAGACTAAAATCTCACACCATATACCAAAATAAAGTCAAAATAGGTACATGATTTAGATATAAAGGCTGATACTATAAGCAAACTGAGAGAGCAAGGAATAGTTTACCTGTCAGATCTATGGAGAACAGAAGAATTCATGACCAAACAGGAGATAGAGAACATTATGAAAAGCAAAATAGATAATTTTGATGACATTAAATTGAAAAGTTTTTGCACAAACAAAGCTAATGCAACTAAGATTAGAAGGAAGGTAGAAAATTGGGAAAGAATTTTTATAACTAGTCTCTCTGTGAAGGACCTCATTTCTAAAATATACAGAGAATTAAGTCAACTTTATAAGAATACAAGCCATTCCCCAATTGATAAATGGTCAAAGGATATGAACAGACATTTCTCAGATGAAGAAATTAAAGCCATCTATAATCATATGAAAAAATGCTCTAAATCACTATTGATTAGAGAAATGCAAATCAAAACAACTCTGAGGTACCACATCACACCTATCAGAATGGCCAACGTGATAAAACAGGAAAATGATAAATATTGGAGAAGATGTGGGAGAATTGGAACACTAATGCATTGTTGGTGGAGTTGTGAAATGATCCAACCATGTTGGAGAACAATTTGGAACTATGCCCAAAGGGCTATAAAAATGTGTATACCCTTTGACCCAGCAATAGCACTTCTAAGGCTACATCCCAGAGAGATCACACAAATGGGAAAAGGACCTACATATACAAAAATATTCATAGCAGCTCTTTTCGTGGTGGCAAAGAATTGGAAATTGAGAGGATGCTCATCAATTGGGGAATGGCTGAGCAAGTTGTGGTATATGAATATGATGGAATACCATTGTGCTATAAGAAATGATGAACAGGCTGACTTGAGAAAAACCTGGAAAGACTTGTATGGTCTGATGCTGAGTGAAGTGAGCAGAACCAAGAGAACGTTGTACACAATAACAGTCACGTTGTGTGATGACTAATATTGATAAACTTAACCCTTCCTGGCAATACAAGGATCTAAGACATCTCCAAAGGCCTTGTGATGGAAAATGTTATCCACACCCAAACAAAGAATTATGGAAGCCAAATTGTTATTTTTTTTTCTTTTCTGTTGAGTTTTGTTTCCTTTTTCTGATGGTTCCTTCTATTGGTTTTAATTTCTACTTACATCACTAATGTGAAAATATGATTAATATGAATGTAAATGTATAGCCTATATCAGATTATGCGCCATCTTGGGGAGGGTGGTGGGGAGGAAAGGGGAGAAAATTTTTAAACTCAAAAGCATATGGAAGTGATTATTGATAAATCAAAATAAATTAATAATAATAATAAAAAAAGAATTGCCTAGTACAGTGAGAGGTTAAGTGACTTACTCATAACTAGTGTAGACAGAGGTAGCAATTGGTTCAAGTCTTCCTGGGAGGCTGACTCCCTTTCCCCTACACCCTGCCACATAAGTTATTATCTCATTCTTTTAAATTTATATGTTTTATAAAGTATATGTGTGCATATTCATACACAAATAAATACACACATATAAAAGCTATGCTCAAATTCTTTTTTTTTAACTGATAGAATACATGATCAAATTTGGACACCACCAGATCCTTTAATTCCATCTGCTTTCTTTTCAAGGAATTCTTTCCTTCAGTTTTAATAACCCTTAAAAACCTGGGACTTAAAAAGCAGCCACACTAAACTTATCTCCTTAAAACTTCTATAAATTGATTTATTCTTTACTTATGACATGTATTCATATCTAGATTATGTTATTTCTGCTTCTTGTTTAATTTGCATGCCAAAAGTCCTGAGGACTTTTGGATTTCACAACAGGAAAGCACTGAACTTTCTGACCTCATTGAAGAACCAGCTTTTCTCTTAATGGAATATGCTCAGTTTTCCAGGAAAAGCAAAATTGCCTATTCCCTTTGATTTTCAGATTACAATATTCTACTGTCTTTTTTCAATTTTTGTCATTATTGAGTAGTCTTGCACAATGTGAATGGCTGGGTTTTTTTGCTTTTTTTTGGTTATGTGAAACACTTCCTCTTGGTTACTTGCAAAATTCTCCTTGACAAGAAACTCTGAAACTTGGTGACTATATTTCTTAAGAAGTGAACTTTAGAGATTGTCTTTATTGGTATCTTATAATTCTATAAATTTTCACCCTGCTCTCTGTTTCCAATACCTCTAGACAATTTTCTAGAATATAGTATTCCATGTACCTGGAATATGGTGTTCACACCATTGGTTTTTTTCTTTTTTCTAGGAAACCAATAATTCTCAGGTTATCTTGCTGGTCTCAGTTCTGTAGTTCTATTGGCTTTGGTTTGGAGAGAACTGAAATCTCTCAATGCTGTCTTTTTAAAAAGCTCCGTTATTTGTTTTTCTACTTGGGTATTTTTTCATCCTGATTGAGTCAACCTGCTCCTCAGAAATTTTCTACTCCATCCCCACTCTCCATCTAATCAATTCTCATGTTCTTATTGACTTTTTCCATCAGGTAACTTATTTCCAATTTTATGGATAGCAGAGCTTTCTTTATATCTCTTATAATTTAAATGCTCTGGAAGATCTTGTGATGTGTCCATTACCTTTTCTAGGGGTGTAGTTCTTATTATAGTCACTGTTCTTTCCTTCTGGAAAAGAGGCAACAGGGTAAATAGAAAAAGCACTAGATCAGGAGTCAACTCTTAATATCCTTGGGCCTGGTTTCTTCATTTGCAAAATTAGAGTGTTTAATTTATTGGCCTTACAGCTCAAACCCCAAGGCTCTTGTTTTCTTTTACCTGGTAGAATGTATTGGGGTCTGGGGTTTGTTTGTTTCTTTTTTGGCTTCCTCATTTCATTGCTCTGTTAATTTTCCTTTGAAGGTTTTTTCCTTCGTTCTTGTTCTTTTCTTCTGTTCTTTCTCCTTATTCTATTTTATTTTTCTTATTTATCGTTATTTTAAGGTGTTTAGGGGAGCTGGGCTTAGTAATGATCACTCATTCCCCTCTCTTCCTGGAACTCCTAGGAGAAGAATTTCAGCAGGCCTTGAGTAACAAAGTGCATTCTAGGCATGACTAATGACCTGAGGAAATGTACCAAGGGCGTTCAGAGACCAGAAAGTTGTTTAGTTTGTCTGGAATGCACAGTTCATAAGGAGAAGTAATAAGAACTGTAGCTGGAAAGGGAGGCTGGAGCCAGTTTGTAGCAGGCTTTAAATGTCAGGCTAAGAAGTTAGTATTTTATCTTTTAGCTTAAGGGAATTCTAGAAGGTTTTCAAACAGAATAGAAACATAAAACAAAAGAGTGGGAAGGGCCTTTAGAGATCATTTATCCAACTCCTTCATTGTATAACTGTAGCAGTAGCTTGGTCGATTATGTAACAGGAGGCTTATTGTGTCAACATTGTTATGGCAGAGAGGTTAGGCAGTAGGAGAGAATGACTTAATTCATTAATTTATTGTTATGTCTTTGCAACTCTCCTGCTCCCCAGTGCTCTGGTTACCAATCACAGGTGGGGCAGCACCAGGACTCAGGAACGCAGAACTAAGCAACAGAGCCGGTTCTGATCCACGTGCTTGAGTCACCTTCAGACTACAACTCCCAGGGTGCGTCTTGGCAACGTCACCGGTTCGGGACACGCCTGCGTCTTAGCCTTGTTTCAGTTCATTGCTTGTCTGGAGGAGGGGATACTCCCCTCTTTACCCGCCCTTGACTACAAGACCCGGCGTACCTATAGTCGCCACTTCGCCTGCGCTTCACACTCCCACGTGCCTCGCCCCCAGCCGCGGGACCTACAAATCCTGGAGAGCGGCGTGCGCCTGCGCTTTCATAAGTCCGCCGCTTCCCTCCCTTCTCCTCCCCACCCTGCTGGAGCTTCTGGGACTGGGGCAGCTCGTCGCGTGGCCTACGGCGGCCGGCAGGGGGCAGCGGTTGGCGGTTAGCAGCCGTTGGCCGAAGGGGCGGGGAAGGCGGGGCCAGAGGCGGGGCCGGGGCCGGGGCCGGGGCCGGGCCGGGCCGCGCCGGGCCGGGCCGTAAGGTGCCGGAGCCGTGGGGCTCGCTGGCAGTGGCTGAGGTTGAGGCCGAGGAGATGGGGGACCGAGGTGGCGCGGGCGGCTCTCGGCGCCGGAGGACGGGCTCGCGGACAGCGAGCGGGGGTAGCGGTGGTGGCGGGACATCAGGGAGCCAGACCGAGGAGGAGCTACGGGCGGCGGCGGGAGCGGGAGCAGACGCAGGCGGCGGGGGGGACACCCCGACCCCGACCGCAGCCCCGGCTTGCACCCGGACACCCTCAGAGGAAGGAGACGGAGAGGGCGTGGGCCCCCCAGACTTGAGGTAATGGGCTCTAATCCTGGACCCCTATGACCCCTGGGTGACCCTTCCCGGCCCGACCCCTGACTCCCTCCCACCCCCCCGACTTCCTTCCCCTCCCGCTGCCCGCTCCAGCCCCCCATTTTCTCGCTGCGGCTGCTTCCCCAGCCCCCTCTCCTCACGGTCTTTTTCTGTCCTGACCCTTCCTTCCCTGCTGTGACTGCCCGGATTCCTCACTCTTTCCCCTCCCCCAAACTCTGTCTGATCGTTTACCTTAGTCCATGTATGAGACTCTGAGAAGGAAGGGAGCCTTTCTCTCATTCATGCATTTGTTTAAAACCAAAAACCAAAACCCCACACTGATGCCTGCTGTGGGCAAGGCTCTGTACTCGGCATTGACAGAGCAAAATGAAATAGGATACGGTCCCCGTTATCAAGGCATTTATAAACTGATTGAAGAGGGAGGGTCGAGAAAAAGGGATAAAAAATGAACTCTGATAATTGATACGAGTTAGCTATGGTAACACCCTATGAATGGTGGAGTTCCTCTTCAACATAGCGTGAATGAGCCCAATAAAAGAACAAAACAAGAAAAAAAAGGGCGGGGGGGCGGGGAGGGAGCGGAATATTCTTCATAGGAAGAAGTGCTATGAAGATTCAGAGGATCGTGGAGTCACTTGTAGTTGGGAATTCAGGGAAAGCTCAGTGGAGGGAGTGGCATTCAAGTCAGGCCTTGAAGGATGGCTAGAATTTTGATAGGCTGAGGTAGGGGGCACTGAGGGAGGCATGAACAAAAGTATGGGAATGGGCCATGGTGGGAAATTAACTTTGGCTAAAACAGAGGGTGCTTATGTGTAAGGGGATAGTAAGAAGTCTGGGAATCTAGCTTGCAGCCAGATCTTAGAGGGCCTTGAATGTCAGGCTGTCAGTCAACAACCACAAAGTGCTTACTATGTGCTAGGCACTTTAAGTGCTAAGGAATTTGGCTTTTTTTCTATAGGAGATAGAAGATTTTTGAGCAAGAAAGTAATGTGATCAGAACCATAGAAGCCATAAAGACAAATCAGCCAGCACATGTGGAATAGATTGGGCAGGAGAGGCTAAAGGAAGAGAGACTGGTTAAGAAGCTATTCCTCATAGTTAACTTTCAATTCCTTCTGCTCCTTCTACCTAAGGGCCTTGTCCTTCTGAGCCACCTCTGGGTCCCCCATCTCCTCAGCCTCAACCTCTGTACTAAACCAGGAAGCCCTTGGTCCCAGAGCTGTGTGTACAACAGGGAGAGGAAGAGAGTGGCAGACTTCCAATCTCAAGGACAGCTCTTGGGTCCTTTATCCCTTTATGTACCATATGGAAAAGGAGATCTCCTACATCTACCCATCAAGGTGTCTACCCTAATTCAAGCCCTTATCACTTCCCATCAGAACTCCTACTTCTCATCCTATGAGGAAGAATTTTTCATCCATGAAGTCAGCAAACTGTCAAGAACCTACTATGTGCAGAGTCTTTATGTTCAGCTTTGCTGCTTCAGGGTGACCTAAAATGTAATATGAAACAAAATACTATCTCGTATGAGTAGTATGAACACAGTGCTAAGAGAGATTAAAGTAGAGAAAGGTCACTTCTAATTAGGATGATTAAGAGAGAGATAGCATTACTGGGTAGGAAGCCCTAGAATGTATATCCAACATTGGCTGAGAAATTTGCTTTGGAGAAAGAAGAGATTCCCTTTTCCTCTTGTCCTATTTCACTGTATTAGGAGCGGTTGCCATCTTGCTTAGAGGCAAGGGAATGGATGAAATGGTATCTGAAGGATCCTGCCAGATTGGGGACTCTGTGTATCACCATCCTTCCTACCTCTTCATCTATGCCCTGTCACTATCCTTCCCTGTCACCATTTGTCTTTTCAATCTTTTTGCCTACCCCTTAACCGTCCTTCCCAACAGCAGCATAGTGGAAAGAGCACTGAAGTAGGAGTCTAAATATCTGGGTTTAAGCCCCAGTTCTGTCACTAACTAGTTATGTTACTTCAGGAAAATTATTTTAACAGCTCTGGATTTCAGTTTCCCAGTCTATAAAATGAGGATAATTGTACTTTTGCAGTCAGCTTATTTCACATGGTCATTTTAAGGATTACATGAGATGGTACTCATTTGTAAAGTTAAGTGGTATCTAAATGTGTTTTTATTATCTCTGTAATCTTCTCTTCCCTATTTTCCCCCAATCATTGCCAACCCTATTACTGCTTTCCTCCTTTACCTAGAATAGTCTTTCCCTTTTCACTGACCTCTCCCTGCCTTTTCTCATCATCACCCCTTCCTTATCTTCTACCCTTCACTTGGCCCTATGACCTATGGAGAACATTTTCTTTAGTGTTTTCCCAGTACTTCCTGCTGAGCTTGGGCAGGGCAAACAGTTCTGGTTTGGGGTGTAAGCTCAGTTCCTCCTACCCCTGTTGCAAGGTGAGACTGTAGGTCAGGAATCTAGCAGGGGTTGCTGTTCATCTTCTGAATCACATTCTTTATTCCCCCACTTCAGCTTCCTTATTCCCCGTGAAAGCACTGACTTATGAGCTGGGATCAAAGGGATGTGATCACTGTTTTCAAATATCAGAAGGTTCATTTTGGAGGGAAAAGGGATTGGATTGAAACTGCTTGACTCCAGGGGGCAGAACTAATAATATTAGGGATTCGGGTGTGGGGGAGAAGGGCAGATTTTAGCTTCTTGTGTGGGAGACCTTCCTAAAGAATTGGAGCTGTCCAACAATTGAGTAGGAAATTAGTTTCCTTGGAAAGTATTGTTTCATCTAGGTGGTGACGGCTCCTTAGGGATATTATTGAGGGAATTCTTGCTCATATGGGGTTGGAAAGGACCATTCAGTCGTCTAGTCCAACTCTGATATTCTTTGGTTCTAGAAGTGAAGGTATTGGCAGGGAAAGGGTTTGGTGTTTGGGGACATGGATTTCAGGCTTCTGAGAGGGTACAGGGCTTGGTGTTTCTGAAGCTAGCCAGGCACAGAACTAGGATACTAATGCCCGGGGTATTCAAACCACTTTTCGGCCTTTCCCCCCCCCCCCCCCCCCCCATTTTAACTGACTAAGGCAAAGGGAAGGTAACCCTTTGGGGGAATGTAACTAGTAGGGCTCCAGTCCAGTGGTTGGGAAAGCTGATGTGTGGCTTTCCCAAGGTAGAGGTGGGGATAGGGAGAGTTTGAGGAGAATGGACATTTCTAGTTTAGAGCAACTTGGGCTTTTGAGTGAAAGGGGGAAGAAAGGGAAATCTGATACTTTATCTCTTCTGGTCTCTTTCCTTCTTGACCAACTCCAAAGCTTCTGTGGGAGCAGGCTCTTTCTCATTGAGGAGGGAAATCTTGCCAAATAGTCTCTCCCCAGGAGACAATAGAGCATATGTCTAGGATTGACTTCTCAGCTCTTTTCATTGTTGTTGTTTTCTTCATAGAGGAGTTAGGAAGGGGAGTTAGTTGCTCCTTAGCAAAGGCATTTATTTAAGGATGGTGGAGGATACCTCCTATATTGGTCTTCCCTTTCATAACTGAAGTTCTAGAGTGGTTCATTTACAATTGTTGTCTCTATTTTCTCACCTCTTACTTACTTCTCAGCCCTTAAAGTCTCATTCTGGTTTCTGACTCCACCAGTGGCCTGAAACTGCTCTTTCCAAGGTTACCAGGCATTTCTTACCTGCTAAATCCTATGACCTTTTCAAAGCCTTTCTTTTATAGAACATCTGGATAGAAAGAGGAAATAGTTGAGGAATTCAAGAAACAAATCAGAAGTCTGACACAGAAGCACAGTATAATAGTGATTGGGGATTTCACTTATCCAGGTTTTTACTGGGGTTCTCTACCAAACAATTTTGTGACCTGCCTTAATGATAATTTCATCCTTTAAAAGGTGGAAGAGCCAACAATAGGAAGTTCTTGTCTGCTTTTGGTTCTCCCTAATAGGGAGGGATGGTTGCAAGGTGAAAATGATATAAATCTTGGGGGGAGGTAACCAGTCTCCCTAGAAGAGTACAAAGTTCAGCACAGTCTGACCTGAACCCTAGATTTTAGAAAGCAGATTTTACAGGAAAGACAAGTAAGGATCTCATGGAGGGTCCTGCAGGGGAAGCCAGCTGAGAAATTTAAATTAATTCTATTTTGTAATTGGTAATACAGCCGAGGAAGTATCTCAGCAATAAAATTCTGAAGACACAAAGGGAAACCATTTTGATGGAGGAAAAATGGGATTTGTGTGACGAGATTGATGTGAATGCACAGGGAATTCACCAGGTGATTTGGAGTTTAAATCTCCGGTTAGAAGATGGAAGTAAGGGCAAGAATGAAGAGAAAACAGAAGGGTGGTACAGTACTAAAAGAAATGACAGGAAGGCTAAAAAGGCTGCCAAGGAAAGCTAAGGCTACGAAAGGGGCTTTTTTGGGGTTCTTTTGGAGATGTGTTGGGGGAGAGAGAAGTGCTTGTTTATTCAGAAAAGGAGGAAGATTAGTGATGACCGAGAGAAGGCAGAGCTGCTCAGAGCAGCTGAAGCAGAGATTGCTTCTGTTTTCTGTGGCAGGGAGAGTGACCTTTGTTCACTCTTTGCACAGAGCAAAAGTGGGTAACAGGAAGCTGATACCCAGGATAAGAAAGGGGAGCATAAGAAACAACCTGTACTCAAAGGATTAAAGGCACCTGGTCCAGATAAACTACGTGGCAGCCTTGATTATTGAACTGCTGTCTTACTGAGCCACTGTTGATGATACTTGAAAGAACATAAACATGATAGGTACATACATAAGACCTGAGAAAGGCAATGTTCTGATTTTCAAAAAGGAGAAAATAGAGTCTACGAATGAGAGCCTAGTGCTCTTGACTTTAGGAATCTGCTCTAGGATTTCCCACATATTAGAGATGGTGGGGGAACATCTAGAACAGGAAGCAGAGATCCTAAAGAGCCGTCACCACTCAGTAAAGAGCACGTCCTGCCAGCCTAATCTTACTTCCTTTTTTGTCAGTTATTCATTAAAT